ACCACCACCACTAATATTAACCACCACTACCACTAATATTAACCACTACCACCACTAATATTAACCACCACTACCACTAATATTAACCACCACTACCACTATCACTAATATTAGCCACCACTATCACTAATATTAACCACCACTACCACTACCACTAATATAAACCACCACTACCACTAATATTAACCACCACTACCACTACCACTAATATAAACCACCACTATCACTAATATTAACCACCACTACCACTACCACTAATATAAACCACCACTACCACTAATATTAACCACCACCACCACTAATATTAACCACCACTACCACTAATATAAACCACCACTACCACTAATATAAACCACCACTACCACTAATATTAGCTCCTGGTATTATTAAGGTATGGTTGTGACAGGTGTTCAGCACCAAGACTTACTTGGCAGTCTCTCAGCCAGATATAGACACATCGCATTGATTTAGATTTTGAGCACTGAAATAGATATCGCTACTACAGATATATTTAGATTTTGATTGCCGGTTTATGTTCAGATAATTTAGCTGAATTTATATTTTGAAATAACGAAAATAATTATTATTATTATTATTATTATTATTATTATTATTATTATTATTATTATTATTATTATTATTATTATTATTTTTATCACACTGGCCGATTCCCACCAAGGCAGGGTGGCCCGAAAAAGAAAAACTTTCACCATCATTCACTCCATCACTGTCTTGCCAGAAGGGTGCTTTACACTACAGTTTTTAAACTGCAACATTAACACCCCTCCTTCAGAGTGCAGACACTGTACTTCCCATCTCCAGGACTCAAGTCCGGCCTGCCGGTTTCCGTGAACCCCTTCATAAATGTTACCTTGCTCACACTCCAACAGCACGTCAAGTATTAAAAACCAGTTGTCTCCATTCGCTACTATCTAACACGCTCATGCACGCTTGCTGGAGTCCAAGCCCCTCGCACACAAAACCTTTACCCCCTCCCTCTAACCTTTCCTAGGCCGACCACTGCCCCGCCTTCCCTCCAATACAGATTTATACACTCTCAAAATCACTCAGTTTGTTCCATTCTCTCTACATGTCCGAACCACCTCAACAGCCCCTCCTCGGCCCTCTACATAATAGCTTTGGTAATCCTGCACCTTTTCCTAATTTCCAAACTAAGAATTCTCTGCATTATATGCACACCACACATTGCCCTCAGACATGACATCTCCACTGCCTCCAGCCTTCTCCTTGTTGCAACATTCATCACCCATGCTTCACACCCATATAAGAGCATTGGTACCACTATACTCTCATACATTCCTCTCTTTGCTTCCAAGGACAAAGTTCTTTGTGTTCACAGACTCATCAGTCCACCACTCACCTTTTTCCCCTCATCAATTCTGTGATTCACCTCATCCTTCATAGACCCATCCACTGACACGTCCACTGCAAAATATCTGAGCACATTCACCTCCTCCATACTCTCTCCCTCCAATCTGATATCCAATAGATTTAGAATTTCAGAACACTTGTATATATACATCAAGTAGATTTAGATTGAGAACACGAATATTATATATATATATATATATATATATATATATATATATATATATATATATATATATATATATATATATATATATATATATATATATATATATATATATTAAATAGATTTAGATTTTGAGGACTCTTAGATGTTCATACTTTGGAAAACTTAGATCTTGAGGGTACAAGTAGCTATCCGTAGATACTTTAGATTTATTTAGATTTTGAGAACACGAGTGTAAATAGATAGTTCGAAATCATTTTAATTTTTATTTGATGATTTGAATTTGAAATAGATTTACATATATATAAATTCTGAGGACTTGAATATAAATAAATACTTCGAATAATTTTAGATTCTCAGGACCCAATTAGATACAGACACAAGATAGTTTTAGATTTTGAAGACACGAGTAGTAATACATACCTAATTTTGAATTAGATTTTGAGATCATGAGTAGAAATACATACCTAATTTAGAATTAGATTTTGAGAACACGAGTGGAAATAGAACAACTGCAGAAATAAATATGTAAGTTAAATTTTGATTTTGGAATTCAGCTTTGACGTCAGATATCCCATTTTGACGTCAGATATCGAATTTTGATGTCAGTTTTAATGTCAAATATGCAATTTTGATGTCAGTTTTAACATCAGATATCCAGTTTTGACATCAGATATCCAGTTTTGATGTCAGCTTTGACGTCAGATATCCAGTTTTGATGTCAGCTTTGACGTCAGATATCCACTTTTGATGTAAGCTTTGACGTCATATATCCAGTTTTGATGTCATTTCTGACCTCAGATATCCAGTTTTGACGTAGAATATCCAGTTTTGACGCCAAATATATGTTTTGACGTCAGCTAGATTCACAATTTGACGTCACACACAAGAATTTTTTTTATTTCTATCAATGGAGATATTTTCTGCCTGTGTGTGTGTGTGTGT